CTATGTCAGTGACACTGATTCAGTGTACACTGTATACGTAAATTTATAATTTATGTATAATATTGTTACACATACTGAATACGATCCAGTGTGTAGTGACTGACTACTCGGCGACTTAAATATAGAATAGGTATTAACATGAGAAATGTGTTCACCAAATAATTTATTTTATATTTTTGTCGATAAGTATAAGCGCTTACAAAATAAATAAGGTAGGTGCCACCTATACAGTTTCGCCGTACTAGTTTTTTTTTTTATACATTCGATGTATTTTTAATATAATTTAATTTAGTTTAATACTTGACAACCACGGTTCGTATAGACGAGTGCAAGTGTTTCGGTAAATATGAAGTACATACCTACGAAAGTAAAAAAGTGTAGGCGTCAGATTTGCTACAGCTGTGGTATTTTTCTGTGATGTCTTTAATAATAATAATTGAAACGTCGAAACTCCGAATAAATTAAGTCGCACGTTCGTGTTAATCAAACTAGTTCCGATTCTAAAAAATAAGAGTATCCGTATTATGTGTTTTTATATACGATAAAAATTTGGAGTCTAAATTAATTATTAAGGTCTGGAAACTGAAATGGGTAAACAGACCTTTTTGTTTTTATAAGATAAACGTAGGTAATATCTATACTAGTTTGCTGAAACTTATGCATAATTTTAAAAGTTATAATAGCATGAAAATATTATATTGGTTGGTAGGTACCTATTAATCGAAAAAACAATATTGTTTTTACCAAATTAAAAAGACTAGCTACTGGCTACGAAGCTATATGAAGCGTCTATTTTTATGGAAATGTGACCAGGACGACGCGTTTTTAGTTTCGACAAAACGGATGCAATTTTTATAGAGTATCGGAACATTTAAAAAAATTCATAATATGATTTATAGACGATCCAACAGGCACGTAGCTAGACATTTTTCCATAAGGGGGATGACATTTTTTGGCCCCTTTCTGTTTTTTGTACCTTCAATACCACTTCTCATCTTAATACACGATGTCTATAAAAAAAAAAAAATACTACATTTCAAAAAGTATTGTCTGTATATAGGTCAAGTATAATAAACAGAGGTACCAATATTTCAATTAGTATGAAAAATTAATCATAATATTATCGAATAGGTAAATCAAAATTTCACGAATAAAATCATTAATTTATTAAAATAATGTAGTCACCAAATGGTAAATAACAAAAGTCCAGAAATAGGTATGTATAGTCGTACTACCTCCTATGTTATAGTATTATACAGATAGTTTAAGTGCTGAAATTAAGAAGTATGCATATTATTATAACGCAATAAAACACTAATGATAATAATCATTTTAATAATAAAAATAAATTAAATAGGTATTTAAATTTATTGTCAATGTTATACACAGAAAACGCCTTAAAAATGTAAAATATGTATAATACGTATTATATGCATAAAACCTAACATGTGTCTATTAATTAATCAGGGTTAATATCTACCTACTGACTACTGAATAATGCTAGAATGTCCAAAATTACGCGAATGCATTATTAACATTGATTGTTACCCTAACTAATAAGGAAACAATTACCTATAATAATTTTTAAATATAAAATGTAGGTAAACAAGACTTTGGTAGATAAAATTTATCCGAAATATCTATGTATAATTTATCGTGTTTACCTCTCGGTTCTCAAGTTTCTTTGATTATTTAAATGACTTATTAAAGTTTTCTTAATTGTTATACCGTGCCTTGTTGACTACTACGGTCTACAACGACTACAACACTGCGTGTTTTGAATGAATCAATACTCAAACTCATTAGAGAATAATATAATATTGTTATTTTGTTAGACATGTTTATCTTATTATTATATAGGTTATTAATGTTATTATTGTATTCTTGTCCGTAGTTGTGTTCATCAATGTATTTAGGTACGTTCGATAACCGATTGGAATTTCTAGTTTTTAATCTATTAATTGTGTTATTGTCTTACTCTTATCTGAAATTGTGGAGCGATAAATATTGATAAAATAATATCTTAGAATTAAATTGTTGTTATACGATCGTTAATTTTATGGAGTAATATACCTGATAATACATTCAGGATTTGGGACAAATGACAATAAAACGCTATAATATTTAAAATATTTAAAAATAAAATTAAGGATGCCAGTTTGAGACCACTGACTTTTCTTAGAGAGTCAGGCCCCCTAAGGCCTCCCCTTGACGACGTGCCTGCGTTTCAATAAACATTTTAATGCATTAATTCTATTTAATGGTTAAATACTCTCGCTTTGATGGTGTCGTGTACGACACATAATCGTTAAATTGTTCAAAACCTACAGTCGTGTTTTATATCAAACGTGTTACGTGAACCATTTAAAAACTACCTAAATCATTAGTGAATTTCGTAATTCGTACGCAGTTCAAATGTTTCTCGATTTCAAGTGAATTGAGAGATTTTTACCTTTATTCGTGTTTTGTTAGAAGTTTTTTATGCGTGTCATATATTCCAATATTTGTATAATGTATACACACCGTGTATTACATTATACGTAACGTATGTATAACGTTTGAAAAATTTAATAATATCGTTTAAATTTCAAATGGATAAATCAGCCTGACGGAATTATCGAATTATGCAATCCATCTTCTATATATAATCTATAACAGATAATAACAATAAATAATAGTCATAAATCAACTACAGTGAATTATATATACTTATCAAAAACATGAATTAAAGACATTATTATCTGGGTAAGAAATTATTAAGAATTTAAAAAAAAAAATCATACCTACTAAGTTCTTATAATTAATTAAAGTTTAAAGTTTACGCGAGCGCAATAGTAGTACAACAATCTGCGGGACAATACTCCCCTTTGCCACTCGACTTATTGTTTTATTTAAACTTTAAATACTTGTAAGTTGTAACTGATTAACTAGGTGCTCGTTTGAAATTCAATTTTATATTTTAATCTGCTCTAAAACAGAAAATGTTCTTAGTAGTTAAGAGAAAATAACTTAAAAAATTATAAAGTAATTATAATATGTAAACATTACGCATTTACTTGTACACCTACTCGATAAATTATCGTATTGCAAGTATAAACTTACCATATGTCACTCGGATCAACTTAAAGTTCTTTATATTAATAGACTACATAAATTGGACGTGTCCGATGAAATAAACTTTAAAAGTGGCCTGGTGTGGCGCAGTGGTTGGCCTCAATCACTAATGTACTCCGAGGTTAAGCATCGGCCAGCGTCGCTAGCTCTCGGATGGGTGACCACCCGACTTCTTAGTAACAAATCCATGGCACACATACTGACATACACTATACACACAAGTGTTTCAACCCTACTAACCAAATCTTACACTAAAAAAACTACTGTTCCTATACACAGCTAATGGACTTAGTTGCCGGGCTTAGATAAAATCAATAATAAAAAAAAAAAACTTAAAAATATCAGAAGAAAAATAATTTATTTCATAACGTTTTTAAATCTTAATTAGTCCAGAAAATTCAACAGTGAAAATCCTATGTAATTAAAGCATTTAAAAATTATTTTTTTTTTTTTACAATCATAAAATACTATTGAAAAATGTAGGTAGGTATTCATTATACATGTAAATAATCTTTCATAGTATAAAGTTTCCCCTATCTCTTTTTATTCAAATATTTATTGTAATAATCTGTAGTTATATTAATGTTTACCTATTGACTGTATGCTTGTATCGCTTTTAAAGTAATTTATTTTAAAATTGTTGATAGTCTTAGTTTATTTAAAATGTCTCTTTTCTATAATTAAAATATGTGTAATAAAAATAAATTAATGTTAAGGCCATATCATTATAAAACATCTCTTAAGATAAGTTTTTCTTTCTTGATAATTAATTTTTTTTCTATTATTTAACGGTATATACAATCTGTGCCCTGAGGTACAGGTAATTAATTTAAAATAAAATTCCACATTGCATAATCAATTTCTTTTCTTGCAAATTTACAAAGCTAATTAAAGATTATATGAGCACTTAGAATAATTTATATTTCAGTGCTAAAACATGAATTGTCTGAACATTAATTATTAGTTTATATACATAAACAAAAAAATACTTTTATAATTTATTAGTAAAAATCAAATATTATTCAATTACGAAATATTTAAAATATCATAACATTTTGATTAAAAAAATACTAATTGAAACTAATTAAATGAAAATATATTACACTTTAAAGATTGATTTTTTTATATTATTTATATTGTTTTACAGTTTTTGGTTTAATTTAATTAAACTATTGAGTGTCATTTCTTTAAGAGAATAAATTATGTGTAAATTTGATTATATCTGATCCCCGTGTTTGATCAATTACAGAATAGATGTTTTCATTTATGGTCTCTTATACGCGGCATTTGGTAATGATACTTATATATTAAAGCTTATAATAAAAACTATATTCACATTATATTATTTAAAAATTCAAAAGTTTACATGTTTATTAGAAACATTGCAATTAAAAATTTAAATATATTTATAGTTTATTTCAAGTTACAATTTATAATTAAAATAAGGACTTTTATGCACTAAAAAATCATCAAATATGAATTTATAAATATGCACCTATGTATCAAAAAATTAAAAATATATAATAAAAACTTTGAGTTTTTGTACACAAAAATTGTAAAATGTATTATGTACTTACTAATCATACAATAAAGTTAACAAGACAAAATTTGCAAATGTATGAAAGTCCTTATAATAACCTTATTATATTCAGGTTAAAATAATATATTTGTAAATAAACAATTAATACATCTAATTCCAAGCATGAAACATTATATTTCTTTTGGACAAAACATTAAAATTTTACAATAATATTTATTATATGAATAATGTTCACTACATCAACAATATTTTATATAATATATACTATATAATTTTTAGAATGAATTAATCCATTACCATTAGTAAAATTTTATAAATAACAATTTATAAAACTACAAATATATGTTGGTTATATAAATTTAAAAACATAAATAATAAAATTTTGTCATAACTACAAACATTTAATTTTTCAATTTTCTCGCTTCATCTTTAACAATATACTTATCCAATTGCTTTTCTGAATTTGGATCAAACTGAGATAACTCACGAAATTCTTTATCTCCAACAAAACATATTTCATGTCCATCCTAAAGAATAATAAATTAATCGATTATTTTACATATTCACATGTTTTTTAATCAAACATTCATAATAAAAAAATTTAAAATGTATTGAGGCAATATAACTTACAGGATCAGCAAATATCACCACAGACACTGAAGCTTTTCCAGGTGTGTCTAAGGTTACAAAAGGAGTTAAAATTTTATATTGATTATTTTTAGCATTTTCTTGGTAGCTTTCTAAATCAGATGTAGGAACTGAAAATGCTATTCTTCCATATGCTGTAGCATGGTTAATTGGTTCCCCTGAAAAAAAACAAAAAATAATTAATATATTAATAATTTGTTTTATATTTAAAAATAAAACAAAAAAAACTCAATTTAAAAATTACCAATATCTCTTAACTTCAGTTTAGCTTGATCCTCGCTAAATCCTAATTCAAGTAAAGATTCGTTTTGATTGAAAATTTTTAAACCAAGTATACCATTCCAAAATTTCATAGATTTTGTTAAATTTGTAGATGATAACATGACATTTACGACAGGATCTAAAATAATATAATTTAATAATTAATACAAAATTAAAATGTTACTAACTTATATAGAACAATATTCAATTCTTCAAGAAATGGAACAAGCAATTATACAATAAATAATTTATTATTTTAAAATGAAGAAAAACATCTGCTATTCACAAAATATGTAATTGGTATGATGTATTGGAGTAAATCAAAAAAAAAAACTCAAAAGTTAATTATAAAAATATAAAATAGTACTACCACCAAGTACTAAAACATTACTTTTAAAATTTAATATAGGTAAAATTAAATATATTTATAATTGTGAGAAACTGCATTTTACTAGATACTGTGGTAAAAGCATTTTACCATTAAAATACCCAATGAAATGTATATTGTATATAGTTTTATAGAAATAATTAACTTTGTGAAATTGCAATTGGTTGTTAATTTATTTTTCAGTAATAATAATACAGTAGATTTGTAGAATATCGATTTAACTGCATTGAACAACCAGATATAAAAACATAAAAAATAAAAATAAAATTGGTATGTACTTAAAACTCCACAATACAAGATGATAAAAGAAAAACAATAAATAAATTAATAAGTTTAAAGTTAAGCTGTTCAAATAAAAAGAAATAAAAAAATGTTTTCAGCCACTTTTTATGTTTTTACTTTGAAAGTACTGTAGTTGTAATTTATTTTAAATCTATCAAAAATGTTATTATAAAAACGTACATACTTCAATAATATACAATTTAGCTGTGTATAAATTATTTGAATAAAAACTAGTTGATAAATTTTTAATTTTTACTTAATTTTCCTTGTCAATTATGATTTAGTTAGTTTATTTTATATTAATATAATACTCTAAGTGCATACCTTTATCAACAAGTTGAGGTTCATCAATCACATAAAACCTATATCCTCCTGGTGCTACAACATAGGACATGTTATCCTCAACTTCAACAGGCCAACTGAGAGATTTAGCATTTTCTAATACTTTTGAAGATTTTAATGTTATTCCAAGGAAATCATTCCCAAGCTTGTAATCATCAACACCATAGTTGTAGGTAAGTTCAATTACAAAATGAGTGTCTTCTGGTCCATATCCGACCATAGTTTTACTCCAACGGTTGTCATATGGACTACAAGGATTAAATTTATAGTAATCATATAAAAATTGATTGAATTATAAATATCTTATATGTATATTATATACTTTAACTAAATAATTACCCGTTGCACGCCGCCTCACAACCTTGAGTGAATTCTTCGTGCCTCAAGATCTATGAAAAAAAAAAGATTAAGAGCATTGAACTCCTTTATTTTATGAAAATAATTACTTTCATTCCCAAAAGTTCTCTATAAAACTTTATGGTTTTGGTTCTTTCGGCTATTTTGAACACAAAATGTAATGCACGTCCCGTCATCTCTATTCAGACAGTAGATGCTTTTTTCAAAGTAAAAATATAACAATTTCTTAAGTTTCTTTATTTTTTTTAAGTCGATACAGAGTACTTCAAAAATTTTCACTATTAAAACGAACTGAAAGGCAAAATCTAACTAATTTGGTAAGTAACTAAAGTACCAAGTAGCAAATATCGGACACTATAATAATTATTAAAGTGTACACACTATACACTTCACGGTACACAATAATGCTGGAGGGGGTCAGGCGGACAAACCGGTTCGCTCTGTTTAATCTGAAATTAAAATGATTACGTCATCAAAATATTTTAGTGATACTTTATACTTTACATATTATTATAGGTGTAGGAACTTAAATTATAGGTACTTAATTTCCGTACATGTAAGAAAGTCATATTATCAAGATTTACAAAGAGATTCTTAGAATCACAAAACTATAAAAATGTTAATAACATTTATCCAAACTGTCCATCAATATTTGTGTATATTTTCTAGTTATTATTTACCTAATTTTCCAGAGGTGTAATTAGGATTTAAAAATTAGTTGAAGGATTAAACTACCTAGGACTTAGCCGTTTTGGAGATATAAAATTTCCAAATTTTTAAATAATATGCCTTTTAAAAAAATACATTTTTACCTAATTGTTCTAATTAAATACCTACTTTAAATACAAAAAAAAAAAATGTTTTACTTTACTTCTAAAATGTTTAATTCAACATACATTTTAATATACTCTTTTATTTGTTTATTAAATAAATAGCCTATGATACTTTTACATAATATTAAATAACTAATAATAATAAATAATGTGTAAAAGTATATAGAGTAATTATTACAATTTGTGTAGTTTTCTAGTCAAATAATTATTCGAAAAAAATTTATCATAAATCAACAAGATTGTATTTTTTTTCAATTCAATATTTATGACAATTACTATGGCGATTTATAAAGTTTATTCTAAATTTAACTAGAATAGTGCTTACTTCACAGTTATATTTAAAATATAAATTTATTATTGTATTATCTTACGTAATTATGCTCAATTGTATATCATAACTTAGTAATAAACACCGTACAAAATTATGTATTCAGTGTCTGAAACAAACAACGATAACGCAAACAAATATTTAATAAATATCGACTTTGGTATCGTCCAAGTTGGTTCCGTTCATAAGAGATCAATCGATATAACAAACGATCTAAAAGCAAGTTCACGGGTTTTTTTTTTTTTACAGTTATTATTAAAAACTACAATAACTTAATATTATTTTCATACGCCATTAATATTTACTGTTTATTTAATGGTTTTTCACAAAATAAAACTTTCTAAATTGAATAAAATATGGAGCATGTTGACATAAAACTATGAAATTTTCTACCTATAGTCTACATGATTATTTTACTTTTAAAAATTAAAAATAAGTATTTAATTAATTATCGTCATGTAATACCTATTAATTGTAGGTACATTTTTATATTAGGAGCCCATCATTTATGGAAAATGTATTTGTTAATGTACCTAATACGTTTAAAAGAGAATATTGATAAGAAATAACACTTCATTATTATTGTTTTGTTCATTTTTAGAAAATCACAAAATTCAAAGTAAAAAATAACAATGAATCTATGTATTTGGCCGATTCGATCGAATTTGAGCCATCAATAACTACACGAATATTTCCAAATAAAAAAACGACTTTTACAGTCATATTTTCTCCAAAATCTGTATTTGTACAAAATACGTTAGAGTACTTCACGTTATTTTCGACAGATGATAAAATTGAAGAAATTTATAATGAATCTGGCGAGTTCGAATCAAAAAGTGAACATAGTCATGTTGATATAGTACAAAAGGTCACGGTTCGAGTACAAGGATCATGTTACGGTAATTACAATAGTTTACACTAAATAGTAAATATTAAAATATATTGAACTGGAATAATTAATTAAAACGAATTAAAAACTTTATTGTATGATACGAAAAATATTTATAATTAATGAAAGTACATAGGTACAGTGTATGAAGTAGAATTATAGGGACCATTACAATGTTCAATAAATATAAAATATATTATTAAATTACTAATACAGTGTATATGCCACTTGTACCTATAACTTTAAGGCCCATCAGTGAAAATTTCACCGACCAAAGTGTTCATGTGCCAATCAAAAGGAGATGAACCAATTATCAAGTCAGTAAACTTAATAAACAATTCTAAAATGCCTGGACAGTATCACGTGCAATATGATTGGACGAATTGTCCGATAAAATGTCATCCATCGTTCGGAGTCATTCAAAATCGGATTCAGATCAAATTGGAACTAAAACCCATTAAAATCGGATATTATTATAAACGGCTCTATATTCTGATTGCGTACCATGTAAGGAATCTATATATTCGTAAATGGTATATTATTTAGTGACCCTATTAAAATATATAATATTATATGCTTAAAGCTTGGGTAGGTACTTTCATGTCAACAGAACAATACCATCCTATGACCTAATTTATTAAAATATTAAATAATAATAATATGTACTTATAGCCTTATAGGTATTTGTATTCAGTATTTGAGTATTTCATATTTTTGATATACTTAAAAATTATTAAATTTGTATTTCATTATTTAACAGAATATAACCATACATATTCATTAACAATTAATTTGGTCAAGTCCGAAAAATGTTGAACAATTTCTTAAATTAAATATCAAATTGTTGCCGACTTATCTACAGAAAAAGTATATACAATTTTTTTTCACCAACCCGTTTTTTTTTAATGATATTAAAAATGTATTTCCAGGTAAATTTAATATTTTAACGAGAAACCAATGAAAAATCATTTTAATTCGTTTTGTAGTTTACAATATGAGTACCTAAAAAGGTATTATGCACTTTTTTCTACGATCTTTATATTTATACATATTTATATGTATCTTCAAAATATTTCCACATTTATTTCACTATTATAGCGTACCTTGTTAAAACTAATGACACTCTAGTCTCTATTTGCTCTATTACGCTCTATTTATAATTTACGGGGCTGTAGGGTTGCACTCCTTATATTGTATATCATAAGTTTATTATGATATTATGTTTTAGCACCCCGTTTACATTGATATATACGCATTTTCTGGTACGATGATAGGGGATCCATTTTCCTACTTCAAGTCGCCGTTCGGACCATTGCCGAAACCTAAAAACAATTACATCGAATTCTTTAAAGACGTCGCGCATCCTAGGAATGATGTACAACATCGAGTAATCGTATCACCGAAAGAATTGCGATTCGGTTACGCGAGGAATACAAAAACCTTGAAATTTAACGTACACAACGATTCCGATACAACACTTTTCATAAACTGGATACACGGTTAAGTATTAATAAAATTTTTATCGTCGCATATTGTTGTGTACACCCATTACCATCATTTACCGCAAATTTGTTCAGAACAATTAACTATCAAGTACACACGTATTACATTTTATGTTTTTATAGATTTTTATTTATTAGCCCACTCATTAATTAGAAAAATTATTCACTACAGTTAATCTACAGCAGTAAAATCTGAATAAAAAATTAATTTTAATCTATCAAATATTTATTTATTTCAACTTTATAATATTACAATAGGGCTTAAGCATATATTTCACTAGGTTATTACAAATGTCTACTATCCGCCCGTCAAGTTAATCATAATATAGACAACAAAATATATTGAATGCAAACACAAGTACCAGCGAGATCAGGTGGTCAACGACAATTTGCATCATAACCTAAGATTTTTAACTGTTCTAGGGACTAAATATTAACGTGGTGTATGTATAATAATATATCCCCTCTCATACGCAGAACCCAGCAGTGATAACCCTTTCACAATAAGTCCAAAGCAGTTTTATATCGATAGCCACGATACGAAAAAGTTGAAGTGCACGTTTCGACCAAAAATCGTTCCAAATATTTACTTCGTTGAGTTTGAAGCTAACGTTTATTTTGGGACCACCAACAATTCACGACTGTTGGCTATGAATGATGCATTTCAGAATCACATGTATGTTGTTCCGATGAATATTTCATTAACAGTCGCAGGTATACATTTAAACGAAGTAAATTCATTTAACGTAAGATACTCATTAACGTTTTTGGAAACAATTATATTTTTTAAGTTTTTTTAGTGTCTTGAATAACAATATACATTTTTAATTTCACATTCTACAACAAAATATTTTTCTGAGTATTTCGATCTATACAAATCAAATTTTGGAGAAGAAGTCCACTAGTTATAATTCATAACTTTATCAGTATTTAAAGTTTGGATGAGCGGAATAGTTGACTATCGAGTATCGATTAACATTTTACGAAGTACCGTTATACTCACGATTCTTATATGAAGTAATATAATGAGTGTCTTACGTTAAATGGTACACAAGTATAATATAATACGTATTCCCGTTTGCCATCATGTTGATCTGCAAACAGGAGCAATAGTATCAGCGTAGAACTAGGCACACCTATTCTTATACAAAATTGTTTTAACATCTAGGACATTCTTCCGATAAGCCTTTTAACGGATGGAAATCAACATGCAAACTCAAAAACCGCGTGATAGTAATGCCACCGACCGTGCCAGCTTCTACACCCGTGTTCGCCACTTTGTTGATTAAAAAAATCGTGTATGTACCGACGACGTTTGAATTACGACCGCCCAATAAATCGTAAGTCCAAATGTTGAGTGCAAATGATTTGCTTGTTAATAAAAATCATAACACGCATATTAATTAAGAGAAAAAAGTTAAGATTATCACGTATATTGTATAACAAACATTATTTTTTTTTTTTTTACAAATTTGAATTGAAAAAAAATTATAGCTATTAAAATTTTATTTTGAATGAAGCAATTCCTAACTCATTTTTTTTTAAAAAAAAGATACTTTGTATAAATAATATGATTCATACAAATATGTAAAATTTAACAATATCATCAATAAAGAAAATAATATAAATATACCTACATAATATTATAATATATCCTAATTTAATACTAAAAATTAAAATGTTTTTCAAAATACATAAAAATTAATAATAATAAAATCATTGAATTATAATTACTTTTCATCACAATTTAAATTTAAAGAACCTCAAAATATTGACTTTTGTATATAGTATATTATATTTGTATACAATATATAGAACATCACATTTAACAAAAAAAATAAATAATTTCTCATTTTAATATCATAAACAACATAAACTATGAAGTACCATAAATCCATAATAAATAATATTATGTACAGATTAATGTTATGAAATGTAATAATTAAAAATCTCATTTAAAGTTTTAATAATACCTAAGTGCTTTTATAGAGAAAAAAAAATCATTGCGAGGACCACAAAATTTCAAATAAATGAGCTATACATTTTCATATATATAATATATATATATATATATATTGTGGAAAATTATTTTTTAGCACAATACCTACATCTAAACTTGAACTCATTAAATAAAAAGTATCTGGTTAGTATCCATGCTATTGGTCACTACTATACATATTTACAAACATTTTCATCATAGCATAGGCATTGTCACAACTAGGATAAAAACATTTTTTCCATAAAATGTTGACTATTTTGAAGTAATATTATGATTTATCATTAATTAAAATATTTTATACAATATGGTATATTGAGAAAAATAAATACTTATTATGTTCCAAGTTATTTTAAGCTGTTTGTAAGCTCTTCACTTTTTGTACAACCTCAAAAATAGTGGTCTAGCTATGCATATCAGCAAAGATCTAGTAAATGTTAAATTAATAATTTCAGACTTGTTTTGTAAGAAATTCAAAAAAAATATAATAATAAAATAAACTTCTATTATATTACCTACATAGACACGCATATTTATCTTCATAAGTTTTTCAATCTGGTTTAATAGATTATATATGATAGACAGTAATCAGTGTAATAAAGTATTTGAATGCCGGTTATTTAAATAATTTTTTAAGTATAAAATTCTTTTTATTTAAAGTATTTAATGATTTTTGTTTTTAATATAGCTTTTTTAGTAACTAAACCTTCTTTTTGCTTATAGAAGGTTCATCCTTGATTACCACTTTTTATAAACTGACTATCAATGAAAACTTCATTGTCGTATGCCAATAATATAAAATATGAAAATTAGATACAAATTGTTTTTTAATTTAATAATCTATGCAGTATTATATTAACAAAAATCAAAATTAGAGTAAATAGATAAATAAATATGTATAATAGACAGAGCAGAGGACTTGTAATATTTGTAAATTTTTTTGCATAACCATAAAAATATTAAAGTTAAAGACAAATATGTAAATCTTATGTTATGAGGTTTTTCTGGTATCGATTTAGCTTTTTGGACTATGTGGCCAATTTTGTGAAGCAATATAAAATGCTATTTCAAGAAATTTAAGTGTAGAATTGCCTTAAATAAGAGTTAATATAATATTCAAGGCTTAAAATTTCCAATCAAAAAAATTAATTTTAAATAAATAATAAGTACATAATACAAACAAGTATGCATATTTGATGAAATTTTAGCGGTATCTACAAGTCCTTTGCCCTAATAATAATAATAAAAATAATTACTATAAAATAATTCAAATTACCTTAATAATACTTAACAGAAATCCAAATGTTTACAATAACTTACAAACAAAAAAAATATTAATGAAATTTACTTTTAAAGCTTGAATAACTAAATTATCTAGTTATTCACTTGAATCTTAATGCACTAACTAACATTAAGTATTAATGTTAAATTAGTAGTAAACAGTAAACCTTTTCTTAAGATATACGTTTGCTAAAATTTTGAACAATACTGACTCAAAAAGAGTAAACCGATTAAAACTTAAGAGGACTATAGTGAGTAGTGACTAGTGTTGAATGTAATATTTATTATCTAATAAGTAATAACTAAATAAAACAGTACTGATAAATATTAACAGTCATTTGATAAGATATCAATTTTATCAAAAATGTTGGTTTTTTTATATAGTTTTACAGTATGACCATTTAAATGGTTAAAATAAAAATTATATTAAGTATAATGATTCATAATGCATACATATTTTAAACCGAAGAAATAATAATTTATAATATTCCACACGTTACACGTAGGTATTTAAATATTTAATCCAAGTTATGTCTGAGCATTAAAGTTACATGGGTATCTCATTAATCAATAGGTAACCCTTGATTTGATCAAACACTAAAAAAATGTTGTGTATACATTTTTAATATTTTCAAGTTATTAATCTAAACTCCTCGAGGCCCAGATAGGTATCCCTTCCACTGCCCTAAAGCTATGAAATAAAAATCTTAGCAAAAATAGCAATATATTTATTAGTTATTTTTATCTTTGATCCTACTAAATATCACAAGAATTAAATATGCATAATTATCTTATTGTATAAAAATTATATTAAGTTATTACTTATTGATTATTTACATACTTATGTTACTTTTTTAGTATTAAATAGCAATAATATTGAGTAAATATATTGATAATAAAGTTGTTATAACTTGGTAACCTATTAGGTAATTTAACATTGAACATTTATTGTAAAATTTAAAATAACAATTCTTGTATCAAAATTAAAATATCAAAAAAAAAAAAACAACAAATTTGTGGGACTTAAAATAAAATTAATACTAAAAAGTTGGTAAAAAGATTCTTATCTTTAAATTGAATAGTAGGTCAAAACATTTAACTAAAAATAATAGAGTAAATTCGATTAATTTGAACATAAAATTTGCTTTGTAGTAAAAAGAGACAATACAATAACAAATGCGGATGTGACGTCCTCTTAAGACATAATTATAAAAATATATTATGTACCTATGATTAAATATTTTATAATGAGCAATTTAAAACTATAAGTAAAAATTGAACCTAAACTTTTAGTGTACCTACACCCTCTCCCTCCTGACCCTAATAAATACTTCTCTGGACGCTTTTGAACTGATATTTTTATGTATAGCAGAATTGGATAAATACTTAAGAAAACGCTAAATGACTATATTCACATGTGGTATCTCCATTTTACAAACGCATAGCATACTAAATTGTTGAATCTAAATAATCCATTTAACTTTGGCATGTTTAATATTATATTCAATTTACCTATTATTAAATTTAATAGTATAAAAATATTCACTACTTAGGTAATATTCTTACTCTTATATTTGATAATAGGTAAATTTACTGTATATGTATACCAGAGTTAATTAGATTGTTTAAATCAAACAATTTGCTATGCTGTTCCGTTATACATTTTTAAGATGGAGATTGAAAACACCGTATGTCAGTGTAGCATACTCTTAAATAATTTCAGTGGCATTGACCATAGCCTATAAGTATTATTAACAACCATATCATTATCCTCAGGCAATATAATGCAGTGGTTTTCTCAGATTATGCTTACTGAATACTGCAGAATTAATAAGTTGCCACTATCGAACTATCTAAACCCTTCCATTTCTGTTAATTTTTTTATAAAAATCAATAATCGTCAAAATATAAATCTGATATCACGTTAACGACTCCTATTCTTATAGTAACGGTTACTGCTAAACCTTTTCATTCAAGTCATGCGATAACCAAAAATTATTGTAAGCCAAGGTTAGGTGACACAATAATTTTAAAATTCTAAATTTTAACATTATAGAATGTTTTTGGCGAAACCCATGATGGGAATGATAAACAGCGATTATCAAATTGTAGTGTTTCAACTGATGAAAACGAGTAACAAAGAGTCGCTTTACGCCGAACGATGGGATGTAATATTCGACGGTTTCGATAATAATTTGGTATAGTACTTTTATAATTAATGATACCTATAGTAATTTATTTCAATGTCAATGGCGTATTATTTGTGTGGAACATGCTAGGTATAGATGAGACAATAACTCTTTTAAAAAAAAATTTGAATAAACTAATCACTTTGATAGTTATATTTTATATTTTTATTTTATGAAAGTTGAAGTATACGTTATTGTGATATGGTAAATATTGTTGAAAAAAATTCTTTTCTATACTAAATAACTGCTAGTAGTAAGTCATAATCGATTAATATTAAAAATGGTTTGTGTCAATTGTTTTTCTTTTTGTGTGTGTAGCGAAGAGTACTATAAAGTTTCTAATCTAACGTACGTTATATGGGCCTTTTTATTCCCTCCAATACCTACATACACACATAAACAAACAAAACCAAAAAGTATGTGAAGTAAAAAATATACCACTGCAAGGTAGGCATGTCGATGATTATAGATTATAAAAATCGATATCGAATTGGTTGCAGATTAGCATAGACATCTACGCGAGTGCAGAATTCGGGTGCGTGACAATCGGCGAGTGGAATCACGTGGTAGTGCCGGACGACGTTCAAGTGGGTTGCGATATGTGGAACGGGCACATACCGATAGTCAACATGACTAGGCATAGGTTACGGTATTGCATAGAAATGAATAGTCAACATCACTCGGTGAACAATGAGGTGATAGAGTTTCCGCCTGATAAGCGTCGTTATTCGTGGAGTTTAGGGGCCAAAGAAGAAATTGATGACGAAGAGATCGGTGTCGAATACACAGACTATTACACTGAATTAGAAATAGATGCCGGAACGGAAATGGATGTCGGATCGGAAATGATAGATGACGGATCGAATAAAAACGCCAAATCAGAAATGGACGCGGAATTAAAAAAATACGCCAAACCGAAAAAGAACGCCGTACCGGAAAAGGATACTGGATCGGAGTATGATGAACCAAAAAGGAAAGCTGGACCTGATGAGGACAACGAATATTCATCAATGAATCAGAGCTATGACGAGTATTCGATCAATTCTACAACAGTGTCTGTGAAGAAATTCGAACGACTGTCATCGATGCTACGGGGCGAAGTTAAGAGATGTGAGAGGACGACACCGTGGCCGTTTGTGTTTTCGTTCGATAAGCTAGTCGGCGAATTGGGGCCAAATGAAAGACGTAACTTGCGATTATCGTTCCGTCCGACAGAGTGCCTAACGTATACGGCCGACGCAACATGTTATTTAACCTGCGACCACGACGACTATCCCGAAATTTTCAACGCGCTACCTGTCACCATCCAAGGTACCGGATGCAAAACGCGATTCCAAGTGAGCTTAAAAATCGTCACCGTCAATCATCTCCGGGCTTATAAATTATTAAAATATATTTAAACAAAATTTAAACGAACAATATATACCGGATTTGATATTATTTTCATAATACCTATACTTTCTTTTAAAAATTGGTCGTTATATTATCAAGCTTCATATTCATAGTAAAAAAAATGTTTAAGGTATACAGGTGAAATTTTGATAGTAAATATATTATACACATCATTATCATAAAAACTAGACATTAAAATAAACATAAATATTTAAAAAAAATTTTTAATATAATTCAATGAAATATACTATATAGGTAACTATTATTCGATGAAAATTTATCCATATTCTTTTCGATATCTATATGCAAATCTTTTCAAAATATAATGTAAAATAATTACAGAACCACGGTTTTGAAATTTACTTGTTCGTAACCATGTCTATATTGCGCATAATCGAGAAATTGCGTTGGCAAGTTACCGAACTAAAATGAAAAGGCGTGATTTTTTCTTATAAACGTTTTAATAAATTAAAATATAATCATAGATAATATTTTCTTTAAATCGTCATAGAGGTGGCCAAATCTCCGCCTATAGTCATCTTCATCACTCATAAATTACACTATACTATTTTTTTTTTTTTTTTAACTAGCTTTTATTAATAACACTATACTATTATTAATACAAACAAATAAGAATAAACGGTTTGTTATATAATTTATAACGTAACATAAGTATTCTGAATGACATCAAACATGGTATAAAGTTGTGATAGCTGCCATACAGTATTTATTCTTCGAAAAATAAACGGTTCACCTTAATTCTTTGACATTAGGTAACGCCAGAAAATTGTAATTTGAACAATGTAATAATTAACATGGAAAGAATACAAAGATTTATAATCGAAAATAAAAATCGTTCTTACGCAAAAATAAAAATTGTTACAATTCCAACAAGATCTATGATTTGGTCTACTTCTATATGTAAATTGAATCCAGAAACTTTTCTATTCACACCTCAACAAAATCAATGTGTACGTTATATTTAAAATTTTAACATTCCCAATGATTACGCGTGTAAATTTTTATATTACGTTTTTTTAGAAAATTGATTTATCCATATACCCTACAGAGTTGGGATTTCAAAAGTTTTTCATCAACATACAGTTTGATCCTAAAGTGGAATCTTATCAAGAAAACGATTTTACAATAACGGTCAGTATGAACGTCATAACATGTAAATTGCAAATTTTAAAAATATCTAACGATTCTATACCTTATTTCGGAAGATTGACTCTGAACAAACTTTTTCATTGTTTAAAGTAATTATATATAACTATGATTAACAAGAGAAGTCATATGTACATTATCTTGTTATATACAACTAATAATTATATATTAACACAAAACTGATTTCAGAATAAATAACAAACTCGATGAAATTTATACAAAAAATACTTCACCATTAATATGGACTATACCTGCAATTTCTGAATCAACTACTTTTGACATTCAATTATATAATTTTTCAAAAATACCAATAAGTTGGGGAATAAAATACAGCGAATGCATAAAATGCACATCGAAAAACAAAAACAATAATAATAATAATAACCATAAGAACTGTAGATCTCTTTCCAATAAGTGTGAACACTACAAAAGTATTAATATTACTCCAACTGTTAACTTGAAAGTAATTTAAAAAAAATTTAATTGTATAACCTAAATAACCTGTAATTACCTTTGTAATACTTTATTCTCAATTATTTAATACTAATGACAATTACAATCTTTTAGATGAATAACTTTTCAAAAATACAAATTGAATTAAATACTATAACTAAAGATGAAATTAATTTGAATTATAAATGGTCAATTGGATTTTATAAATCGCTATTATATAACACTGAGTTGCTAATAAAACCTAAAACATTCAAAGACGGTTTAATTTCATTTGATCCGAAATACGGAACAGCCGATCAACTAGAATTCAAATTTTTTACCAGTATTCATAGCTCATCATAATCCACCAGCACAAGTTCATTATAAAATTATCTTATTGTACTATCAATAATAGCTTAATAATACTTCATACTTTACAGGCTTTTTGGGTCTACAATAGCAATAATTGTGATGTAACATATTCGATAATTGATGATTCATTAACACCTGCACATCCATATTTTCGTTGTCTAAATCCAAATGGAGTATTCAGCTCTAAATCAGTACACCCAATACTATTTGTGTTTTCACCTAACAGATTATGTGCATTTGAGGTGCTTTTTAAGAAAATCGTTTAATTAAACTAAATTTCGAATAAATAAAATTATATTTTTATAGGCTACCATTATGCTACTAACAAACAATTATTACAGACGCCAAATAACCCTTTTAGGACAAGGTGAATCGTATACTAGAACCACTATTTCACCAGGACATGGTTTGTCATCATTTTTACCAATGCAGAATGATAGAAAAAATATTTTTATCAACGGAAAATATAATACTTAAACCAATATTAACACAATCAAATACTAAATCCTTGTTTTGCCTGTATAACAACAGTGATGAAGAAATTATTTACGAGTGGAACGAGTATGATTTTATTTGTAATTTGATACAGATAGATGGACAAACGATATTTCAATAATAAAAATATATAACGATTATAATAATAAACATGTTAAACGTTATAATAATATGATTTAGGTGTACAGTTGACAAAATACTTACAGCTATTATATGTCCGATTAAAGGAAATTTGAAAAAATATAAAAGTCAAATATTTGAAATGTCCATTACTAGTTATAATGAACCAGCTATCTTAACAATTATGTTAAATATTAGCTATAAGCTAGTTTCTCAAATTGAAAATTATGAACGGTCATTAAAAAACTATAATATAAACAAAAACAGACTTGAAGGGTATTTTATAATCAACGAATGCGGCAATTATAAACCAGTAAAAATTTTAAATATCCATCTATAAAATATAATAATACTATTTTATTTTTATTTAGTTTACAAAATGTTTCCTTATATATAATCGAACTAAGAAAACAAATAAATGCACTTAGGCATATTTTTTTATATAAATACAAGTAATAACTAAGGCCTGAATTTAAATTTCCTAAAATCTATCAAAAAATGCTTTTAAAAATCACCAAAAATGGCTCTTTGACAACTAGTACATCTACGAAAAATAAATATTATCACAATGCAATCTCTAACTGATCAATTAATATATTTTGTTATTTGTTGTTACGGATGAAAAGTACTTAAAACCTATCAAAACAAATATTATGAAAATAATATTTCTTAGTATAATATTTTTAACTTACTCTAAAAACTCGTACAATATATTAATATAAATATTAAAAAATAATAATATGACTTGAAATTGCTTAAAAATACTTTAAAATTGAAAAAAAATACACAGAAATATGTGATATATTAAGATACTATATAGTGTGAATAATTACCAATTCAAGGTATAAAATATAATTTAAAATTAGTCTGAATATTTTACTACTTAAGAATAATAAATAATATCTAATAATAAAAAACACTAAATGCTAATATTATTTTCTCTATTGTAATCGCTATATTGTTTATTATTATTATGTAGTTTATAACTATGACTTCAGCTTGATTGGTTCCTTTTCGCGTGAAATTTTTTTTTTAATATATAGTAACTTATCTTATTACATACATAATGCATAAATATAAGTCTAAATTACTATATTCATAACTAATAGTTGATGTAACGTCAAAGTTAAGATATTTGTTACAATTTTACAATTATTCTCATGCTATGAAATAAAACTATTGAAATATAAAACTAAAAAACTAAAAAATACTTACCATGAAATTTTTTTTAGAAATTAAACATGAAAATAGAAAAACAGCCGCAAGAAAAATATTTAGTTCTGTATGCTTATGTTAGAATAATCGATGAATTTAGTAAATGGATAAATGAAGCAAAACATAACATAAAAAAGCATAATTTTCAACAAGATAAGAGAATTATAAAACAAAAATTAGTCTGTACAGATAACTTTCGAAATATTTTATGGTAAATTATTGATAAATTTATATTTAAAAATAATTATAAATTAATATGGTTACTCCAAACTCTTTCAGGGATGTTGTAGATAAAATTTGTTCAAAAGAAATTGATAACAAGCCATTATATTATTACCAATTAAAAAATTCAAAACAAAACTATCAAAATGATATATCAAAAACAACAAGAAATAATTTGGAAACTATTTTAACATCACTTATTAGAGACAGTTTGATTAACATATTCCCATCAAATACATGGAAACATTAATAATGAAAATATTATTCCTATAAAATGTACTTACTACTTAATAAGTACAAACAAATATTTACTATATAAAAGATTTATTAAGATAAATATAATATTTTCATATTTTTGACTTGCCTACTTTTAATTTATTTATTTTAAAACAATGCAATCCTGGTGACACACAAGTAACTTACAGAATGATATCGAACATTCTCGAGAACATGTGGAGAACACTCGAAAACGTTCGGTTGCGAATAAATAGTAAATACATACCAAAAGGACAGTCAGTCGAGTACCTAAATCAATTATCTTATATCGTTGTGTTAGGATAACCATGTAACATCTATTTTTTTGTCACATATTTTTTTCACGTACAAATTGTATACAAAAATAATATTTGTGTAAGTTTAAAAAAAAAGTATATACATATTAAGAAACTTGGGATCATTTAGAATTAGAACATGATAATAATGTATAAAAATTGAACGACTTATACCTACCTATGTTTTAAATTTTTATTTTATTTAGGCATTTCTACCTATTTAATTGTGATTTGTATTCATATTGTAACGTGGCTGGGGAACCTAGTTATACTATATTAGTTATCCAGGGAAGATTTTCTGGTCCTTATGGATAAATTTCCCGTAGCTAGGGGGTTAGACACGGTATGTGGGATCTTATCAATAAATAAAACACGTTTGGTTTATAAATCTCTGTTCAAAATATATTTTTGGTTTGTACTTAACAAATGTAGACGGTGGTAAACAATCCCGGTGTTGGTGAGTTCATGTTTGTTGGTGAGTTCGTGTTTATTGCTGGTCAGTCTCGAACTGCCCTTTCGATAAATGGTGCGTATTGGCCACAGGCCTCACAATCATTAACAATGTTTATCTCAGCATAAATATCCCACTATTGCCTACTACGGAATTGTCACATACACAGGTGTCATGTAACAATAATATATATATTATTGTTACAATATCGATCTAGGATCTAGCCGATAAAGGGGACAGTTATAAATTTAAAATATAAGACAGTAAAATTGGTATCATATTATATTATGTAATGATCAAAATTAATTTAGTGTAGAAAAAAACTAGCTTTTTTTTTAACAAGTATGAAGTTAGTAATTACTAATTAACTTAGTCGATAAAATTATCTATGCGTAAATATAATTGTCCATGTACGTACATCTTATTATTAGAGGGTAGTAAGAACGCATTTTCTATGAGCGAGTACACAATGTAGATAAAAATTAAACTGTATACTTACATCACGTACGAGTATGATTTGTATTTGACATGAACTATAAATAAAGGTAGGAGCATAATATATAGGCAACTCATCATACTCATCTTCTATACTAATTTATTATTTTCTTATCAATGGCTGAATCCCAAAAATGCGTTATATATATTATACATTAAAAACTATAGAAAGTATAGTACTTACATGTAACATGTGTAATCATCGCACCGATAACTTCGGTGAACGTAGTTCAAATCACCAACGTTTTTTCGAAGTTAGTTTATCAAGACATATATATATGTCAGCAGAATTTTTTTTTTATCGATTAGTAGAGCGTACTTCATTGTTAAATATTGAGTAGACACTGAAATGTATGATGTGTTAAATTTGAGTTCAACAATAAATTATTGTATACAATATGATGAAAAATGATTCTTTGTAAAAACGGTCTAACCAAGATTACCAAACAATAACTTACAATATTTCCCAATTATTTTAAAAAACACTGAGAATTTTTAATTTTTATCTCCCTAAAGTACCAATTAGATCTGGTCTGCCCCAATTTACCGATTATAATCAAAGAATTTCTTTTTCTAGAAAAAAAAAACGTCTCTAAACAGACAATACACAAACATTTAAAAAAGACACATCATTACAAATTCAATATATTCAACACTACTCTCAAAATTAAAAAAAAATAAATTATTAACAGCAATATATGTCTATAAATATTATTAAACAAAAAATATTAGTAAATTTTATTTTTAAATTTGTTAAACTACAAATATTGCATTTTAAAATTCAAAAGAGGTTGATCTCTGAGTCACGTTTCGCAAAGCGCCCAAGGAAGATCGATTTGGGTCGACGTAGCCATCGGTATCCGGCAAGGCTGGTAAGGGAAGTGAGCTTGGGGTAAAGTCCCGCGATAAAATATACCATATTATAATAAAATTTCCTTACTCTTTAGAAATATAAGCTGACAGACTTAGAATCGTTTTTCATTGAAAACCTAAGACCTAGGTAAGTACAAATGTACAATAATTTATTATTTAATTTAAGTTTAACACATCCAACACTGTTCTAAATGGTGAGATATCTGCTTACACAAGACCTACATTATGTTACTACGTCATGATCTCTAAAATAACAGTAATTAGTAAACCAATAGAATAAAGATTAAATAAATATAAGAATATACGTTTATAGTCTATCCACATTACACAGCAAATCACGATTAAAGAAATACTGTCTTGCATACCTACTCACTATTATGTAGTAGATACTGTAGTGGCTACCGAGGTTATAAGTTTCGAAATAAAATTAACAATTCTGCTCAAATACCTAAGTGAGTACTAGGTAATAGGCGCGATTAACTACCTTAGTTAATCATGGTAATAGGTAGGTCGTAGGTATCTATGAACAGTAGAACAATAATATTACAATTTTTATAACTTTACCGCACGATACGTTTTACTTTGTTTATTTTTGTCGTATCATAAATCGTGATAACACTGATAACAATATCAGCCACTGTAGTTGGCCTACGATGGAAGATTCATGGCTCGCGCAAACGCCGCAAACCGACAACCGTCCAAGTCATCGAACTGTGACGTTTAACGTTCGTGTCATGGAATAATATGACGCTTTGAACTTTCCAATTACCAGTGCTATTGAAATACTACATTTTCTGGGGCTTTCGATTTGCAGCTTACGAAAAAAATCAGTACCTATTGAACAACTATGCTCATAATTTATTCAGTCGTAGTTCGGCTGCCGAATTCATTTCTTTAAACACCGTTTCGTCATACCGTATTTTATTCTTAGAGTGTAAATCTTCAACGACTTTAACATCTAAAAGTATGACGAAAAATCAAGATGAAATACTATTAAGCGAAGAATACGGACCAGAAGAGTGCAATGTCATATACAAAAGACATGGTATTTGAAAACAAGTTACTCATCATAAGCATTTGATTGATAAGCACTAATAAGTTGTATTTTATTTTGTTTTTTTTCTGAAAATTAGTATTGTACAGTACAGAAAAGACATATCCAAAATGTTTAAAAATTAAAATATAAATATTTTATTTAATATCTCACGCACAATACAATATTACATTCTGTAAAATTTAGAAAAAGCGATCTAGTGGCTAATGCTTTTTAATGAGCACTCATGTTCAATATGTGTCATTATAATTTTTTTTTTTTTAGATCAACGGCAATTAATATTGGAATCTGAAAGACGTAAACTGTCCACTAGTTTCATTCGTAGCTCAATTAATATACTAAAAGAAGTATTTTTGCCCAGAGGATTTCCAAATAGTGTGAGCAAAGACTACACTGAATATCAAATTTGGGATACTATACAGGTGACATATTAGTACCTGTAAAATAATGCATGGTAGATATAGATTAAATAATATTATATTATGTTGAGATACTTATCTATCTATCAAAGTATTAAAAAATAAATTATTGACCTATATAATTTAATAGAAATTTAGTTCTGATTAGTTTAAAAACTATTATATCAGTAGATTAACTGTACCTAAATTTGTTTTTAGGCATTTTGTAGTACTATATCAAACATATTAGCTACAAATGCTATTCTGAAAGGTGTCGGTGTAGGTGATGCTCAAGCTACAGCTCTTGCTGCATCCATTACTTATATACTTAAAGATGGAGCTGGTATGATTGGGCGCATAACTTTTGCGTGGTGGAAAGGGTAAATTTCCATATTTATTAAAATGTAGATTTTATGCACCAATGCCAATAGTTTTATTTTTTCAACTTAGAAAACATGTATATTTACTAATTATTAAGAAAATTACATAATTTTTACTTAAATACTGTATATATTTATACATAAGTAATTTGTAAAAAACACTTATTTTATTAACAATTTATTGATTTCAGATCTGAATTGGATACACAATGTAAAAAGTGGAGACTTCGGGCAGACGCACTTAATGATTTGGCAATTTTCATTGAATTACTTTTGGGTATGCCGTGGGTTAAACAGTTTTCAATAATAATCCTATCATTTTCAAGCTGTGCAAAGTCCATTGTAAGTGTTGCTGGAGGAGCCACACGTGCAGCATTAACACAGCACCAGGTATTTATTTATTAAAATATTATATTACATCTTACAATTTTGAATTTAAATGATATACTTTGTTAAGTATTTAAAGGTAAACTTTCTTTGAAATAGATATTTATTTATTACATTTATAATATGAATATATAAATATTTACTTATACACTATATTTTTTACTCTAAATAGGCTATTCGTGATAATATGGGAGATGTTTCAGCAAAAGATGGTAGTCAAGAAACTTGTATTAATCTAATTGCTTTTCTTATTGGATTAATTATGTTACCAATTGTTGAAAACCGTATTTTGTAAGTATAAAAATCTTCACTCTAATATTTGTTATTTTTAACTATCAAATCCTATTGATAAATAATTATGACAAATTTTCTAGGTTGATATGGCTGATATACTTCTTAGTAACTTTGTTGCATTTATTTGCCAACTATAAAGCAGTCAAAAGCTTAAATATCAATGTTTTCAACAGTGCACGTTTTGATTTGACCCTTAAATATTATTTGTCTAATGATACACAAAACCATGATGTACAAAAACCTGACTTTATTAATAAACGAGAAGCTTGCTTTTTAGAAGGTAAATTTATTCATAATACTATCATTAGAGCATTGTTAATTGTTATTATTTATTCAACATTAATTAAAATACAATCACTAAAATTATTAACAGAATTATTGTAACAATTTTTTTTACTTTTACAAATTATATAAATTTTTAATCAGTAACAATATTATGTAGATTTTTCTTAAATAATAGAAAGTAATAACTAATAAGTAATAATTTATGGTCAGTTAAAATTTTTGAATTTATTATTTTAGATGAAAAGCTGTGTTCTTTTAAAATACAATTGGGAACATCTGTCCACGAACTGTTGTATACAAATACATTAACTACGTGGGATTTAATTGATCATATTGAAATGTATAAAGATTATCTTTACATATTAATTATGGATACACATAAAGACACCATACGAGTAGTGTTAGATAAAAATATTAACACTGAAAGTATTTTAAAAGCATACTTTCATGCTAATATATTAGGTCATTTAATTTCTCCCAAGAATAAATTATCATTAATAAAACTCAATTCTCTTCGTTCTGTAAGTATTAAATATAATAATTCCATTAGTTTAAAATAATTTATTTTAAAAATTATATATAGATGAAATATACATCCACCAACACTCAATTTTGTTGCACACATTCTGAGTATGTTCAGCTATCATGCGATTTTGTTAATAAAAATTTTGATAAGTTTCTCTTACATGCTAAAATGTCAGGTAATTTACATATTTTACAAATTACATATTTTATCAACACTCGTAACTAATATTTTCATGTTATGTTAGATTGGAGCTGTACAAGTCATCACCTTGTAGTAGATGAATGGAGGGCTTCATGGTGACAGGATATTAATTATAATTTTTTGAGTAAAAAAAACTATTAAGCAATGTTAATATTGTAAATGAAAATATATTTTTCACAAAAACAAAAAATTCATAATTCATATCACAGCATTATTAAATTATGTAGATATTTCTACCTTGGATGATCCCGTTTGTGATAAATGTTTAACAACGTCTATCCAATCATATCCTCGTGGTTTTTCTCCTTTAGAATCTAAACGATCCCATTGTTTTCTTTTTTGAGCTTTACTCATAGTTTCTTTCTTTGTTATCTTTTTTGCAGATTCATCATCATTATCTATTGACTAAAAAGTACAAATTGTAACATTAATTATAATGTATTTTATTAATGATGTAATATACTAAAATACGCACAAGTTTAGTTATACTCTCAATAACTTCTTTATCTGGTTGATCAGCAACAAGTTCTTCAGCAAAATCTTTAAGAAATTCAAAAAGAGTAAATGTCATGGATTCTCCCAAATAATGATCAGCCTCTTTTGAAACTTTATTTTTAATATTTTCTTTAACTGAACTAACTCTAAAATATTTATTTCATATTAATAATTTTTATAAATTTTATGTATATTGGAGTAATATTCAGTATGTTTAAGAGTGAAGTAACCAAAAGTTTGTTTTGAAACCAGAGTTGAAAAATATTTATGATACTTAAGTTAAAAATATACATCCAATAAAGATGCAATAATATTAATTTAAATTTATCTTTCAATAAGACTATACAATATAAGTCAAAACTTTAAATTAATATATTAACTGATAAATTAACATTAAAATAATTTTGATGTATTGTTAATTTTTGATTTGAAACTAGACAGCTAAACTTGACTGGTTACATAATCTAAATCATACAAATATTACATATGTGTAAAACGTTATCAAATTTATCCGAACATGTGTTTATTGTAGAACATATCTAAATTTATTTTGGGCGCTTCATTTGGATAATTGTTATGCCATTCAACCTCCAATATAAAAGATTTATTGTCACTATCTTCTCCATACTGTTAAAAAATAAATAAATAAATAAGTAACTAGTAATATATTAGCTATAAATAATATGATGGTAAAAAAAAAAAAAATTTTCAATTTGGGACAAAAATAATGTAGTTGTTATTAAATGTTAATATAAAGCCTTAAACGCAAAAAACCTGAGCACGTACTCAACATCACTAGTAAGTGAGTATAAAAAGTAATGAATATAGAATTAAATACATTTTAAAATATTTTATTTGATGATAAAAAGTATTATCAACATAAAATTTTTGAATAAAGTTACAAAAATATAAAATTTACATAAATTATGAAGCATTTAAAAACAAAATTTAATTTTTTTGCTAAAATTAAATATGAATTACTTATTTAATTGATTTAAAATCATTTAATTAGTAGCAAGTATTTTAAATGATACAAATATGGTTTCATAGGTACTAAATATGTTTGAAGCCTAGAGTAGTTTATTTACAAGAAGGTAGTATTTATAAATACAACAAATGTCTATCAAATCACATTCTACCAATAACTTGATTCTTAATTTTTTTTTTTTTTTTGGTAAATGAGTATCTTGTTTAAGAAAGTATTTACATGCCTGCATCAGAATATAAATGTTAAAAACATTAAACTAAAAGTGAAATTATATATCATACCCAACAAAAAACGTTTTAATTTTTAGAAATTTACGTTGTTCAAAATTATCTTACCTTGTACTGATAAATAGTAGGAGATACTTGCTTAAAAGCTTCATCACCATCATAAATAGAAAGCAAAGCTTCTCTTTCCTCTTCTTGAAGCACAGAACATTCTTCGTCCATATTTTGAAAAAAAATAATTATACAAGTTACCAAAAATATTTAAAACTATAATTACCAATTTGTACAATTATTTATAAAAAGAAATACTAAATATAGCTAAATAATAAATGTGTATGTGATTGCATGATTTATCCATATAATTATTTAAAATAAATAAATAATTGAATGTACTCAATTCAGAAACAAGAAATTATTCATTCAACGTGAAAATTGAAAACATGGGAAATTCTATTACTCAATGATAACGTTATCATTGTTATCACTGTTATTATTGTTATCATTTATGACTAAGGCTATTTAAATTTTAAACCTCAAGTCACAAATAAAAAAAATATGTTAACTACGTTCTAGCAGGTTGTCAAAATGTTAGGTTCACATGATTTATATATCCAATCAAGTTTTATAATTAATATTCTTACCAAATAATTAAACTTAATAATATGATAATAAAGAACTTAAATACTTAATACTAAACAAAAAATTGGGCGTTTGTACAGTTGTTTGAAAACGAAAGTATTTACATAACATAAATATCTATCTATTATCTATATTCTATATTATAATATTAGTAATAACTAATAACTGTATAATATACACTTATTGATACAGTATTATAGTATTTAAGTACCTAACTGGTTGTTATTATTGTCTTTAATAGTTTTTTGAGAAAAATTATACCTATAAGAAATTATAAAACCATTTAGGTATTATATTACAATTTATAATATTATACCCAAATTTATACCTATACTCATTTTAATACCAAGAATACAGAAGCCAAACCAAATGAAAATAATATTATAATAGTAATATTATCTGATTATAATAATAAATGATGCTTATTAAAACATAAAAAAAAATAGTAATAACAATGAAATTACTTGGTAGATACATAAATAGTAAATTATGTGACAACATTAGCTTTGATCGAAATTATTTTTATTTTTTTAGAATTTTAAGTACATAAAGATATATTTTTTTTTAAACGAGAAATTAATAAGAAATATACTCAAACATTTAACAATAATGTTTAATAAATAATAATGCAATAAAAAAAGATATCCATAATTCTTTTTATAAAAAATTCTCGAAGTGCCTACATTTTATACTTATATGTACTAAGCAGAATTACTGAAATAGGATAGGTAACAATTTTAATATGTTGAAATGAAATTTAAAGTAGGCATATAATATTAAAATGTTATATTAATCTACATACCTATTTAAAATTGGAAATTAAATTAAAACATGACTAGAAACACGAAATTTAAGAAATTACTTGGTTTATACCAATATGATGTACTTAATAACTAATAGATATAAAATGAAATGGAAATATTATAACATAGTAATGAATAAATAATATATACCTATTATTGCTAAAAATAAATTTAATATTTATCATTAAACTGCTTAAACTATTTTTGTAGTTATCTTTATAATGTTGAAATTGTGTAAATAATAATGTGTAATTAGTAATTACCTATAATAAAGAATAATAAAACTTATAAATAAATAACGATATGTAAACCATAAACACATTAATAGGTAATGAATAATATAAGTAATAAAATTAAGTTGGCGATTTAAATATTTTAAATTGGTTCTTACCATATAAAATGTACTTAATGAACTATGATTAAAATAAAATAACTTTATAAATTTACACGATTATGTAATTAAACATATATAAAGAGTTAAAAAACATTATGAACGTCGAATGAAATTAAAAAATAATGACTTAAGAAAAAATACAGATTTAACGGATTTAACGGGAGTTTTGATGTAGCCGATTAGGTTACCAGTGCTTTGAGATTGGTTAATTCTTTTTAATATGTAAATATTCAAAAATAATATAATTTATGGTAATTATTATGGATGCATGTAACCGATGCGTTTTACTCGTTTTAGTACAAAAACTTGCTTCACTTAGGAAATCACTTTCGTAAAGTAGACAGATTTCGAAAATGTTTTGCTAATTTATTTAAAATATGAAGGTTCTATGCAGATTTTGCTGGACTAAGTTTTTGTAAACAGTATTTTTAGAGGTATTTATACACATTACACTTCTATATATTTTATAGTTGTAAAAATCGGGTTTCAAATTTTGTTTTTTTTTCAAAGATAAAAGTTCCTCACATCATATTCGTGCGTTATATCGTATTTAATAGCAGATATATAAATATTAAATAGCATATTACCTAAATATTGTTCTATAATATATTATTCAGTTAAAATAAATTTATGTAATTGCTTAATTTTTTGTATTATTATATTACATATTACCTATGTAAAGTAAGTTCCACGGTTCATTGGATATAAAATCGATGAACTTACTTATTCGAAAACTCCACTTATATTTATACTTCCTACATAATTGAACACTACTACTTAAAATCTGAACAAAGTGGTAATGGGGGGGAGGCTACTTCACACATATCATTATATTGTTACCACACAAAGTCCGTTGACCGAAATAAAGTCACCGTTGTACATCATGCAATGTTTTATTGTTTTTCGCGAGCAATTATTACCCCACGCTATAACCGTATCTCCTTAAAAACTCGTATTTAACAGACATGTCGGAAATAGCGGTTATACGGTATCGTATATCATTCGTGTTGTAAAGATTTTAAGCCATTGTTGTTGCATTTGTTAGACGAACGTGAGAATTTCCGATGAGTATATAACGTGCAGGATGCATGTTAACGTTTTTAGCTGTATATAATAATACGTGTAAGGCATGGGCACTTAGTACACATTGTATATAAAATGGTAAATATGGTTTTACGAAGGCATGTATTTTTCTATTTGCGTGATTTAGTTATTAGTGTTATTACCTACTTATTTCTGTATTCGCATGTGTAAACAATTTCTGGAAAAAAGAAATTCGACCTCTCTTCGCTGTAGTTAACACGATAAGGACGCAGGGCATTTTATAAGCACCAGATGACTGTGACAAATACAGCTAGTTTAATATAACGTATTGTTACTTTTGCTGACAATTGTACAATATCTTTTATTCTTATAGCAATACGAACAAACTATCTAGATCATTAAAAAAATATTTTTCTGGTTTTAAACGCAATACGAGTGTCTAAGATTTATACATTATGCTTATTTTGATGTGTAAAGATTGAGGATGATCATAAATTATGATTACTGTCAAAAAAATGCATCAAAAGGGGAGGCAGTCCATCACCCTGATAAAAATGCACATATTGTCAGTTGTGACTGCCGACATGCAGGTATAGTGTATACCTACGCGTTTTCCGGTGTCCACGGTGGCGTGACAGTGACAAAGGTATAATTTATCAGCTTGAACGGCGGAGTAGTGTACTGTATACATAAATAAAATACAATAATTTATAGCTGTGTGCGATAGTATATTATACACTGGCTGGCAAATAAAAAAAAAAATGCATATTAAAGCTTCGGAGGAAATGGAAAATTCCCGAAGCCAACCCAGTTAATTTCCGTTTGATTTCCGAAATTCCGCACGCCGTGGCACAATTATTCCGATTTATTATTGCTGAGTGTACTGCAGTGTATGTTGCATGAAACGGCGCGTTGTCATGGTGTGAAGTGCCGTGCTGTGGAATAAAAACCGTCAATTTCGTGGATTTCGTGTAGATAATCACGGCGGTACATTTTTAAACATAAACATTGTGTATTTCAATGGCTGATATTAAGAGATACGCCCATTAAGAATATTTATAAGAGATAAATTATAAACCGATGAAGACGTCTTGACCGTGTAGTTATGTAATTTGGTGAAAACACATTTCTTGAACCACACAGACGAACAACAGAAAGAAAATCAACTGATTAACAGCGCATCTATACTAAAACTGATATTAAGGGGATTTTGTACATGTCTAATGGACTAACCATTAAGTCCGCTAAAAATAAATTTTCTCACATTTATAAAAAAAAAAATTACGTCAAATTCAATTTTGTTTTTTTGAATATTCTTATCGCTACGTTATAGATAAATAAATTATGACACGCTTGAAATAGAACATGTCTAAATTTTAATATATATTATTTAGTTTTAAACTTGATTTATTAGGTATAGGTACCAAAGTTTAAATAAATTATGACATTTTTTAAACAAATCTATTTATAAAACGAATGCTGAGCGCACGAACGCCACATATTTATTCATTTTTGTTAAAAATAAAAAAGTTGAATAAAGACCGTATTGTAAAATCACACAAACATCAAAGGTAAATAAAATTCCATATTTCTTATTAAAGTTATCGTTACCATAATATTATTTACGATATACCTATATAATATTGTTAAAATTACAATTTACTCATAAACACAACAAACAATCCTACTCAATAAAAGATTGTTTATTTTGATCAGTTTTTAATTGAATGTAACAAAAACGATTTTGATTGTTATCTGCAAATAAATATAGACAATATTCTTATTTTTTCTAGAATGGAATAAATTATATCAACAATTTCAATTCAGCTCTGTTTTTTTTTTTTTTTAAATAAAATACAATTATATTATGTTTTTTATTTTTCATGGAAATATGTATTATTGATTTTTATGTTCAGTAAAATTAAAATATTTGAAATATAGCGTATGGACGTCATTAATACATAACATAATGTATAATGTATAATATGTATTAATATAGGTACAAAAAATTGTTATATCACTAAAAATTAAAATAATACTTTATTTTAGTTGTTGTAAGCATTAGAAAATGTATTGGTAAAATATTTAATACCAATAAAAAAAAAGCACAAATTATTAACTTTTCATTAACCAACATTAAATAAATACATATAAAAATGTAATTAATAGGTCCACATCTAGACCGTCGACTAACTTGGGCAACCCATATCCATTCTAAACGCCTCGCCTTAAACAACCGTTCTCAACAGTTATGTTTACTTTTCACATCTAAACACGTAAATCTAAAACATAAATTTCCCCTGTATAAACTTATATTCAAGCCAATTTTGATCTATGGTATATTGGTATCTAACTACGGGAAGCTGTCATAATCACCAATATAAATATAATCCAAACATTCCAATCCAAATACCTTC